AGGTGGTTTTATCAGAGTCCATACAGATGTTTAAACTGCAATTGGATAAATACTTGCAAAAACATAACATAAAGGGATATAATTTCTAATAAGTGGGGTATAGCTGCTTGATCCAAGGAGATAGTTGACTGCTATTTTGGGGTCAAGAAGGAATTTTCTTCCTAGTTTGTTGCAAAATTGGAAGCACTTCAGACTGTGTTTTTTGCCTACTTTTGGATCAACAGCAAAAACATTTGTGAGGAAGGCTGAACTTGATGGACGCAAGTCTCTTTTTGCTATGTAACTATGAATTTATCAGTCTATATATCAATTATCCAGAGTCTGGTCTAACTTCCAAAACAATATTTTAGGAAGCAGGAAATATCTGAGAATTCTGCCTTTACATATTGAAATTCACTTTTCAAACAGCACAGTACATGTGATTCTTATTGACTAAGGCATGCAATAATGTTATACCGCAAGGTCTTCCATTACAGAGGGCAGGCTAGCATGTAGAGTTATGGAGATTTGTGCCGCACCTTGCATTTTGCAGCACTGATGCACCAGAATTCCCATGGTTCACCCCATAGGGAGAAAAAGATTGGAATTTTTTTTTAAACTACAAAAAGTGGCCTTCACCAGTAATATGCAATATGTCTGTGTTTATCAGAGTTTCAATTCATTGCAGTGGCTATAGTGCTATGTGTTTATGGGTCCCACCACTGTTTTTTTTGGCAACTTGTTTTGGGGTTGCCTATTGTTTGAGATGGGTATAAACTAATGGCAAAAGTGCGTAGAATGCAGGATTTAAAAAAAAAAAAAAAAAAATTGCCACGGTTTACTATATCTGAGCACTAATACTGGTCTTTATTCCTCTTTGTTGGAAACATTAACATCATTTAACATTGTGTATAGAGCATCTTATAGCTCTCTGTACAAAATGTGTCAGTAAAATGCATTAGAAATTTTTTTCTCGAAAAAACAGGTTTCAAGGTTTTCAGTAATAATTTTGAACTTGTGTAAATAATATATAATAAACCATATACATTGTAATGTTGTTGTTTCTTTAGACAGGAGTATTTTATTGTCGGTGTCAGGGCATATTTCTCCATTAAGTGTGTATTTAACCCCTTAAGGACCAAACTTCTGGAATAAAAGGGAATCCTGACATGTCGCGCATGTCGTGTACTTAAGGGGGTTAAAGTGTGCATTTATGAGATGGTATGTCCCTAGTGTACCATTGTGGTAACACATTAAATGTGTTGGACTGTTGGTTAAAGCAAGCAGACACAGTGTGAGATTCTCATTGATGTATCATTACATTGCTGACATAAGATGTATCTGGGTGGTGGTGGTGGTGGGGGGGGGGGTTATATCCATTTTTGTGATTGGGTGATGTCCAGTACTGTAGCTGGGTGAATGCTTGTCTTAGCACTAGTGTAAACCAGAGAGGAGAAAGCAAGGGTGATATTGCAGACTGATAGGGGTTGCTTTGTTATGGGTGCGGTGAGGGAGCATGGAGGGGGATGATAGCTTCCTGAGGAAGACAGATTCTCATCTGACTTGTTTCCTGTTTACTCAATTTACAACTGACTTGGGTGGTGGTGCTGCTCTGTATGTTTCAGACAAGGGAGGGGGTTAAGCAACACATTGCAAGTGTCTGGCAAGAGATTAGTTAAACTTAGTAACTTTTTATAATTTTATTGCAAAATGTGTTTATTTGTAGTGTTTGTCATAGGTCTCACATGACAGCTACTGCAGGGTACTGAAATATAAACAGCCTGACCATGTGACCAACAACATAGACGGCTTGAGTTTCCGCCGCAGATGTTTTGATGCCCAAATAAATCACTATATGCACTTTACATGTCTTATTTGACCTATACCCTAGACATATTGTAAATATTAATTAATTAATGAAATAGAGAATAATAATAGAGCGATAATAAATAACACCTTGTTTTACACATTGGGAGGATGTATCAAGACAAAAACAGGTGCTGAGTCAGAATAAAAGAAAATCAGTAATCACCATGGAAACCAATAGAATGTATCTCAAAATGTAGTACTTTGGACCTGAAATACCCCCAAAACAGGCTTAATAAGCCCCCCTCCCCACCACCCCATGGGTCATATTTATCAAGACATAAACCGGTGCTATATTAGGAACATTACTAAATAAGGAACTAACACACTGAAGACTAGTGTAATATCTCTCAAGCTTCTATTTTGCCTTGACGAGTAGGGACCAAAGTTCTTTAATGTGCACTGATCATTTAACCTTTTAGTGACTGACTAATGTTTTTTCTGAGATTCAGTGAGTTTGTGACCTAGGTGTCACGAGGTTGTTACCCTAACGTACAGGAAATGGGGATTCCCACAAATAGAAGTTTTAATATAGACATATTACCGGTCCTTAGAGTGGCCAGACTTAATGTTAATAAAGATAGAGATAAAATCTGTAAAAAACAAGGTCAGGTTAAAGAAATATGGATATACTAATAAACAATTTGGCTCAGGATTCCAGAAATACTCAAAATGAATCAACAAGCAGGGTCAGGTTACCAGATATACTCAGTCGTATACAAGCCAAGGTTAATATTAGAATATCAAGAGACTTACGTTAAGCACTAAACGTGTATCAAGACAGAAACCATGATAGGGCACTAAATAATGGCCTAAACAAGTATTTCATAGGTTTATATATGTTATTATTTATCAACGATTTTGCCTTGAGGCACAACCCTAGAGGAAGAGCAGTTTGACAGCACTGATTCCATAAGCATGTGTACATTTGCTATTTTATGTTTCAGGCTGTGCGGGCCAAAAGCTCCACGTGGCCTGCGCGACCAGAGATGGGGATCGGCTCGTCATTGAGCAGGTCAGTAATGTTACGCTAAGCTGTTTTGATTACACAACTCTGCCCCAACTCTCCAATCATGCATTGAGATATTAGAATGTACTAAAATATATGATGGTATGGCTAGACAAATTGGGAGGCCAAGAAATGTTTGGCACTTAATACCTAAAAGAATGAATGAGATGTACTCGCTCTTTTTCCCATTATCCTAGCGCTGCAGTAATATGTGCACATACGATGGACGTGTTAGAAAATAAGAACCTTTTGGAGTCTAGTAGATACAATCATAGAGAATTTAACGGGTAAGGCACTAGAGGTTTCTCCTCAGGCTGCACGTCTACATCTAAGATTATCTAATCATTCAACAAAAGATACTTTAATAAATCATACAAATACTGATGGCAGCCAAACTGAATATAGTAAGAAGGTGGAGACAAAACAAAACACCCACTTGGGAATCTTTAAGGAACCAAATTTTATATCAATTTAAAATGGAGAAAGAAATATCATATGTGACCCAGGAAGGCTGTATCATCTGGGAAAAATACATAAGTAAGGATTAAGAATGTAGTCTCTCCCAGTAAACCACCTATATAGAAACCCAGAATAAGACAATGTCCCAAGATGTCTTTTTATTCCACTTCACCTTTTGGACAGAATAGCGCCCCACAACAGTAAATTGCTCCATCTGTTTTTTTTTTTATATAGTCAATTTATTATGAATATAGACTTAATATCTTATTCCTGTGTTTTTCACAGTCCGGATTTCACACGCGGTATTGTGAGTTTTTACATTAGCCCATTTAATAACCATTTTAAGCAATCTTCACACACATTGTATTTTCAATGTATAGTTTCATTACCGCTGACATATACAAGTATGCTTCAAATTTTATTTACCTACATCTGGATACCTTAACCCCCTTAAGGACGGAGCCAAATGTACACGTTGTGAGCAAAACAAAATGTAAACAAAACCTGGCATTTGCACTACATGTCTGTCCAACCGTAATTCACCTCTTTCATATTAAATGCACCCACCCTTATTATATATCATTTTATTCAGGGGAAACGGGGCTTTCATTTAATATCAAATATTTAGCTATGAAACATAATATAATATGAAAAAAAAAATGGGAGAAAATAAGATTGTTTTTAATTTTTTTAGTTCTACGTGACATTTTAACTGTCAATGTCATAATACTGTTTGCTTTTACTGCAATAAAATACACATATTTGTATTCCGCAAAGTCTCGCATGTAAGACAGTACCCCCTATGTACAGGTTTTATGGTGTTTTGGGAAGTTACAGGGTCAAATATAACACGTTACATTTGACATTGAAATTCGCCAGAATGGTTACGTTGCCTTTGAGACTGTATAGTAGCCCAGGAATGAAATTTACACCCATAATGGCATACCATTTGCAATAGTAGACAACCCAAGGTATTTTTAAATGGGGTAAGTCCAGTCTTTTTTAGTAGCCATTTGGTCACAAACACTGGTCAAAGTTAGCGTTAGTATTTGTTTGTGTGTGTAAAATGCAAAAAACGCCAATTTTGGCCAGTGTTTGTGACTAAGTGGCTACTAAAAAAGACTGGACATACCCAGTTTGCAATACCTTGGGTTGTCTACTATTGCAAATGGTATGCCATCATAGGGGTAATTTTCATTCTTGGGCTACCATAGGGTCTCAAAGGCAACGTAACCAATCTGGCGAATTGTAATGTTAAAAAAAGGAAACACAAGCCTTATATTTGACACTGTAACTTTTGAAAACACCATAAACGTATGTGTATATATATGTATATAATTTTTTTAAATATTTTTATTTATATATAGGTATATAGGTATATATCTATTGTGATATATACGTATATATTTATGTATATAGATATATATATTTCGTTCTACATGTATTTTGATATAAAGATATATATATTAATATCACAATACAGTTAGAACGAAATAACACACATCTATATATTTTTTAATTATTTATTTTTAATTATTTTTTTTATTTTATTTTTTAACGTATTTACATTTTTTTTATATTATATATATATATATAACAATAATTATATATATATTTAATCAGTATCAGTCTACTTGTAATTTGATATTAATATATATATATATATTAATAGTAAAATACACCTAGACAGTGTATGAGTGTGTGTGTGTGTATATATATATATATATGTATATATATATATATATACATACACACACACACACACACACACACACACACACTTAGATCATATATATATATAAAGTATATAATTATATTTTTTTACACTTTATTAATTTTATTTAAGTTGATTTCCAGCCAGCAGGGGGACTACCTGTCATTACAGGCAGCCCCCCTGCTGGCAAGCTGCCAGCTATCCCGGCCATGTGATTGTGAGGTCCTCGCAAGGACCTCACTCTCACATGGCCGGGGGTAGGGGGCTGCAGGACAGAGGATCCACCGCGGGGGGCTCCTTGGGAGTCCCCCCAACTGCGATTGCCTGCGTGGGATCGCCGGTGACCGGGTAAGTAAGAAAAAAACAGAGGGCGTACTCTTACGCCCGGCGGCGTTTAGAGCCACCTAAAATAGGGCGTAATAGTACGCCCTCCGCTCTTAAGGGGTTAACTAAGCTTTTTCTGAAGTTGTGTAAACTTGTTGGATAACATTAGAAATTTGTCCTTTTTTCACATTAATTCTGTTTAATGAAGTGATGCTATTTGTGTCACCAACATTCACCTCAAGTCCATCCTCCGATTCTCTTCTGATATTGTGTGATTTGCCCTTTGTGAGGATTCTTCCCTGGGCAGGGCAAACATCATGTGTGATACCAGCATGCTAACTTTGTTCCCAGTTTGCTGGTGTCTGAACAGACTGATGTCAGTCACTTCATTCCTATACTCCCTAGCCAGTGCTAGAGCATCAGCCAGGGATTCCATAGCAACCACGGTGCATGTGCTGTGGTTGCTATGCTTGGGAGAGGAGAAAGACCACGTGTAGATGGTCTTTCCTGCTCCCCTTTATTAGTCAAATCCATTTGACTTATAAAGTCAAATATTTGACTGATAGGTTGGAGAAAGACCTATTTTTACATAGATTACCCTCCCAATCTAGCAAATCTGGTCAAACTGACTTGATTGCATTGTACGAAGAAGTAAGTAGAAGTATAGATCAGAGTGTTGCAGTGGATGTGATCTATTTGGATTTTGCCAAAGCGTTTGATACGGTTTCACACAATAGATTAGTGTTCAAAGAAATCGGTCTAGATGAAAATGTTCTTGAGTAGAACATTGGCTTAAAAATACAGAAAGTTGTCATTAATGGTACATTTTCAAGCTGGACAGAAGTGGCAAGTGGTGTTCCTCAGGGTTCTGTTTTGGGACCCTTTCTATTTAACATGTTTACAAATGATCTTGAAAAAAAAATTAAGTCATGTTTCAGTGATGCAGATGACACAAAACTCTGTAAAGTAATACAACGTGAGTAAGATATTACTTTGCTGCAGAGGGATTTAAATATATAAAAGCAGGACTGGCTACTCAAATGGCAGAAGAAATTTAAAGTAGAAAAATGCAAAGTTATGCACTCCGGCGTCAAGAATGCACAAGCAACTTATACCCTTAATTGAAGCGAATTAGAGATAACCACACACGAGAATGACTTTGGGATTGTTATAGACCACAGACTATGCAATGTCAATCAGCAGTGGCTAAGGACAGTAAGGTATTGTCATGCATGAAAAAGGGCATTCATTTTTGGGATGAGAATATTAATAAAATTTAAAACAAAAAGACATTGCCTCAGAGGGGACATGATAGCATTATACAAATATATTCGTGGCCAATACATACCACTGTGTAGAAATCTATTCACAAACCGGACTTCACAGAGGACACAAGGTCATGCATTTAGACTGGAAGAAAGAAGATTTAGTCTAAGGCAAATGAAAGGGTTTTTTTTACCTTAAGAACAATAAGGATATGGAATTATCTGCCTGAAGGAGTGGTTTTATCAGAGTCATACTAAATTTTTTAAACAGCAACTAAATGCATGCTTGCAAAAACAGAATATTCAAGAATATAATTTTTCAATGTAGGGTAAATGCTTCTTGATCCAAGAATTAATCTGACTGCCATTGGGTCAAGAGGGAATTTGTTTCCTAGTTTGTTGCAAAATTGGAATTGCTTCAAACTGGGTTTTTTGTGCCTTCTTTAGGATCAACAGCAAAAAACAAATGTGAGGAAGACTGAACTTGATGGACACATGTCTCTTTTCGGCCTATGTAAATATGTAATCTGTGAGCACAATGTATAGATAAAATGTGATGCTCTTTCAAAGGAGCATACATAGTTTGGGGCATGACAGGTACCATTTTAAAATTCAAAATCAAGTGATGATTTAGATTTTAGAACCCTCCCAATCTCACTAGTGAGAATTTTCTTGGACAAATCATTTCCAATAATGGAGCACTGGGATCATATGTACCATACACAGCAATAGCATTGATGTGCCAATAGAATGCTTCTCATGGAACAACATTCAATAATTCTTTAAGAGAATCCATCACTTCTACTTTCAGCATGAAAGAATGAAAAGGGTGCAATGCAGAATGTTTATAAAAGTTAAATGAAGTGCTGTAGGGGTCATGAGTGTCACTTTAATAAAATCACAAAAACAAAAATCTTACTTCCTAAATTAACTTTTTCTAGAACAAAGAAGAAGTAAGGTTTCAAAATATTATTTCCTGAAAAGGAAGAAGATGAAAAAGGTTACATTCAAACATCGAGTTTAATCCTTTAATGGATTTTATAAAATCCTGTGCTTATTTATCAAGGTTTACTTGAGGTCATACTGTAATTTGTCACATTACACTTTTAGATGCATGTTGAACCTTCCATTTATTAGCTGCAATGTACTCTTTTACAATAAACAGCATCCATTCTTTTACTGGCCCCTGACCTATTATTTTTATATGACTCCAGGAATTTTAGCCTCTCGTACTGAAACACAATTAAAATTATATTTAAAAAAAAAAACATACAATTAATCAACCCTACGTATCTCTCTGAGAAGCATTTAATATAGTGATTCTCACAGAGAAGCATTGAATTTACACTGTTTTAGTCTTATAAGCCCCTAGTTTATTTTCGCAAACTGCGGTTTCTCAGAACAACACTGTTTACATTTGCAAAGCTGCAAGGGCTGCATCTATGTCCCAAAATCATTTCATGAAGATGGAGTGATTTCGGTGCTTAGACTGTCCCTTTAATAAGATGATCGGTGCATGTATATTATAAATGTAAACAGTCCACCAGCAGTTCATAAGAAACTCTTTTAAAATATACTCCCAATGGATACATAGATGTTTTGTTGTGGTATATCTACTAAATATTGATTTTCTTTTTGTTTTGCCCATTTTGCCCAACTACATATGTGACAATGTCATTTTAATGCACCATATTTGTAGTCAGTCATACCACACCAGGTAGGGATAATGCGGAGGGTGAAAGGACTAAAGTCACAGAGTGCCCCCTGAAGCACTGTAACTTGCTGACATGCTTTATGTTACTTATGAAGAGTGTGTCCTCTTTTTTCCAGTTTGCAAAAAGTTCAAATTTTAGAAATTGACACTTATAAATTAACCTTGTTATGCCCCGTGGCGTTAAGCAGACAACAGGTCATGTTGCTTCCTGGTTTATTTAGCTCAGTGGAGCTAAACTCAAGGGGCAGCAATTACCCAGTGCACCTGCCTTGCAAATAATTGAGCTGCATTGGAAAGTCTGTGATTGGACAACCACAGTAAATCTGGTCTGGTTAAGAAGGGGGGGGGGGGCTTACAAATTCTTCTTCTTATTATTGGTATTTATATTGCGCCAGCTTATTCAGCAGCGCTTTAAAAAAAAGGGGGAATTTACCAAATGAGACAATAACAAAATATAACAGGAACAATAGGCAGTTGAAGACCCTGCTCAAACAAGCTTACAGTCTAGAGCATGGGTTGTCAACCTGGTCCTTACCACCCACTGGTGGGCGTTTTGGGATTTCAGGTGGGCTCAGTGCCGGTGCTAGGATTTTAAGTTACACAGGCGAACATGCATTTTGGTGCCCCTCAACCTCCTTTAAAAAAAAAAAAAAATGCATCTTCACCTGTGTGTATTTCCTCCCAAGCCACAGGCATAATTTTTCAGTCACACAGTCATACAAACACAGAAATAATCATACAGAGACATTTAGACACATACAGTCAGTCAGAGACATACAGACATACAGGCAAAGACATACATGCATACAGAGACATGAAGGCATATAAAAACATGCATACATACAGAGGCATACCGTCATACAGACACATACATACATACATACAAAGACATCCAGGCACATACATACATACAGGCATACAAAGACATGCATGCATACAGAGACATACTGCCATACAGACACATACATATATACAGGCATACAGAGACATACATATATACAGGCATACAGAGATACAGGCATACAGAAACATGCATACATACAGAGACATACAGGCATACAGACACATACAAACATTCATACATAGAGAGGCAAACCGTCATACAGACATACATACATAAACATACATACAAAGACATACAGGCATACAGAGACACACAGACACATACGTACATACAGAGACATAAAGGCATACAGTTACACACATGCATACAGAGACATATATACAGACATTCAGAGACAAACAAACATTTAGTTACATACATGCATGCATACAGATACATGCATGCATACAGAGACATACATACCTAGAGATAGATACATACATAGAGATAGATACATACATACATACAGAGACATACATACAGAGACATACATACAGAGACATACATACACAGACACAGAGACATACATACAGAGACAGACATACATACATACAGATACATACATGCATGCATACAGAGACATACATGCATGCATACAGATAGATACATACATAGAGATAGATACATACATACATACAGAGACATACATACAGAGACAGACATACAGAGACAGACATACAGAGACAGACATACATGCATACAGATACATGCATGCATACAGAGACATACATGCATAAAGAGACATACATGCATACAGAGACATACATACATAGAGATAGATACATACATACAGAGACATACATACACAGACATACACACATACAGAGGCATACATACAGAGACAGACATACATACATACAGATACATACATGCATGCATGC